GCCGGCCATCGGTCCCTTTCTCTGTGTCAGACTTAACTATGTTTGTTGTCGTCTTCTAAATAATGCCGCGAGTGGGGCTTGAGGAAGTGATGTCGCCTGCGTCTGCGCAGTGCGACCTGATGCAGCCCCTGAAGTGAGAAATACTGCAAAATAATAATAATAATAACGCGACTAAACGAGACGAAATAACGTTATAACATTTCGTTTCGTCTCGTTTTGGTCAACGAAAATGAAGAGACATTTTAGCATAGTTTTTATTTTGTAAACCACATTTAGTCTCGTTTTTATTCGTCAACGATATTGCATTATACATTTAATTATAGTCATCGTCACATGACCAGCATTTACGTCTCGTCTCGTTTTCGTCACGTAATAAAGGTTTGTTGACGACGATATTTTCGTTGACGAAAGCAACACTACTGCCATCATGGGTGAGACTTCTGTTGTTGGCGTTTGTGCAAAAGGTTATACAGATCTTTTGTCTGCACCAGCTTCAGAAGGTATGCTGGCATGCGATAAGTTATAGATTCTCGAAACCAAGTGTGGTTTTGATTGTGCAATTTTATTACTGTAGATGATGAACATTTACAAGGGAAAACAGCCCCTAGTAGATCCGTCTCCCAAACTGAGACAGCATCAAGCAACACTCCCGTTCAGGAGGAATCTCCCAGGCCATCAACATCCACCTCGAGCTGTCCTAGCCAGGGGAGAGTGCTGTCTGTGGCCGTCCTGCAATCACAGAAAGAGCTGAATCAGTCAGTTTGTGATGTTGTGACTGAACTGCGCCAGGTGCGACAGTCCCTGCTTCAGATGAACCAGACTCCGTTTCGAGTTTGAAAATACTTTAAAGTTTGTTTCTCTACTGCTTTTCATAGTTTTGCATTGTTGCAAAGCAGCTGTATAGAACTACACAAACTGGTATAAAATATAAAGCATAAATATTGAAATGTAGCCTATTAGATTATGTAATGCAAGGTATTACTTGCAAGGTGTGGTATTCAAAAAAAGAAAAAAAAATTCTCCATAAAACGGGTGGTCTTACCTGTTGAAATAACCTGTGGATTGACTGCCGTCTTCTCATGATCGTAACAGCATGTGCGTTCCAGTCAGCGGGTAGTGGAGGGGGATCCTCTGGAACATCCATGCACATTTCTTCTTCTGGTAGCCCAACCCCATAACTCAAGCAGATATTGTGCAGAACACAAGAAGCCAAAATAATTTGGCACACTTTGCCTAGATCATATAGGAGTCTCCCGCCCGATGCATCCAGACATCGCCACCTTCCCTTTAGTAGCCCAATTGTGCGCTCCACGACTGACCGGGCGCAGGCATGGGACATGTTATAGTGAACTTCTTCAGCTGTCTGTGGGTGCACTATGGGGGTGAGAAGCCATGGCTTCAGAGGATAACCTCTGTCACCTATAATTGTATAGAGAATTATTTTTGAAAACGAAAATGGAATAACAGCTAAACACAAACAGTTATTTACCTAGAAGCCATCCATCTCTACCTGCTCCTGCCTCTAGACGATTGCCCACGCTGCAGTTGCGCACAATGAAGGAGTCGTGCGTCGACCCTGGCCATCTTGCAACTGCATTAAGAATTGCCATTCGAGCATTGCAAATGAGCTGTACATTAATCGAATGGAAATTTTTCCTATTAACATACACATATTCATGTGCATGAGGTGCTTGTATGGCAACGTGAGTGCAATCTACTGCAGCTAGGACATTGGGGAATCCTGATTGGCGCACAAAATCATCCATAACATGCTGCTGCTCCTCGGCAGTGTATGGGAACTTTATGTATCAAGTGGACTATTGGACGATGCCTTGAAGCTCAGCTGGCATAAGTCTACTCACAGATG